GTCTTCCATTGCATCAAAAACAAAAGAACATAACGAAGAATGGCACTGTGTGATTTGCTACGAAGACTATGTAGCAGATATGAAACGATGTGCTTCTTGTGGTTTTTGGGTCCATGAGGATTGTGCTGGTTTGACTGCGGACGATACTGAAATTTTTTTGTGTCCAGACTGTATGCCTTAAGTATAAGATTTATACTTAATACCATATTTTATCTTTGATACTGTTTTTTTAGTGTGTTACATTTCTTTTTTATTCTATCAGTATTTCGTTGAACTGTTATTTTTTTTATCTCTCATTCAAATCTCATTATATGTCGTTGCAGATATTAAGGTCCAAAGGGATATTTTTGATATTTATGTTTGGATATCATTATTTTAATATTTTCTTTTTATTTTTTGATTTTTTTTGTTTTTTGTTTATTCGTTTGACTTGTTTTTTGTTCATTTAAATATGGGCCTTATTATATGCACTTGCAGGCTTTAAGGCCCAGAAGACAATTTTTTTAATGTTCGCGTCTCGACATATAAGCATGATTATTTTGTGTTCAAACATTACCATTATGTTAGTTTATACCCTTTTCTATTTTTTATAGTAATGAAAGTTTGAAAAAGTAAATTTCTCTCGTAGATATTAATTATAATTTCTTAGGTGGGCATTATTACCCCCGGGTACCTTACTTTCAGAAGAAATTTGACTAAAATAATTTACTTAATAAGTAAATCCCTTTCTTCACTACACCCATGGTTTGTTTATCATTTTGTTGTTGAAAATAGCTATTGGAGCATTTTTTGTGGCAAAAAAGTTGTTTCTTGGAGAAAGATAAGGAAATATGTATCTCGTACTTATTTTAAATAGGAATTTAGTATATAGTTTGCGATTGATTTGACCAAACTTTGTTGCTAAAATAACTTGTAACGCTTTATTACATAAATTAACCATGGTAAATTCCACAGCAGAAAGAGTTGAAATTATCGAAATATTTTTCGGAAATAATCAGTGCGCTAATAGAACAGCAGAAATATTGAAATAATGAGCGACATGAGAACAGTAACGTGCATCAAAAACATGTTCTAGAACTGGTAGCTAAATTTCGGGAAACTGGATCAGTCGCCAATAAAAAACGCAACATTGAAAATCCCATAGGGAACGAAGCAATAGAAGTGGGGGCTTTAGGGCAAGTTTATGTAGATTCTACGTTAAGTACCCGCAAATTGGAGACTTTGTGTGGTGTTAGTCGACGTACTCTCCAACGGATTCTAGAGGCCATAGTTTTCATCAGTATAAAATTGACCTGCTACAAGAACTTAATGAAGACGATTTTGATCGGCGGTTACAATTTTGTAAAGATATTAGTGAACGAATTATAAACGATGAACATTTTCTATTCAACACTTGCTTTTCCGACGAATGCTCCTTTTTCTTAAATGGCGTAGTAAATCGTCATAACTGCCGATATTGGCCCGATTCTAATCCCAGAATTTATCATGAGGTTCATACACAGCAGCCACAAGAATTAAATGTTTGGGCTGGTATTTTTGGCGATCATTTAGTTGGTCCTTTTTTCTTACCTGGAAATTTGACCGGTGAAATGTATTTAGAATTACTGGAAGACGCCATAGATCCTGCATTAACAGACATAATTGAAAATAAGAATGATCGGCGGTACATTGGGAATAGATTGATGTTCCAACAGGATTGTGCCCCACCACATCACACATTACGTGTTCGACAATATTTAGATCAGACGTTTCCAGATCGATGGATTGGTAGAAGAGGTGCCATTGAATGGCCCCAAGATCGCCAGATTTATCACCTTTGGATTTCTTTATGTGGGGTCATTTAAGAAGCAAAATCTATGCTACTCAGCCAACATCATTAGAAGTCCTGCGACAAAGAATTGTGAATGAGTGCCTTCAAATTACACTGGACAACAAATTTTTGTTTTTTAATTGTATCTTATGGGAAAAGTGCACTTCTTTGTTAATTTTGGGGCGCTGAATCCAATAATGACAATGAAATAAAAAAATTAGTTGCGGTTTAGAAAAAAAACTTTTTATTTTTAAGGATATATTAAAAAAGTAACAAGATATATACTTATAAGAATCACTATATGCGCTGTCTTTTTGCTGTTCTTTTATGGATCGTTTCTGGAGCATCTCTACCAAGAGTCCAACAGTAGTCTGCAAGCATGGAAGGATTCCACTTTCCCTGGTACCTTTTTTCCATTGTTGAAATATCCTGATGAAAACGTTCGCCGTGCTCATCACTTACGGCTCCGCAATTGTCAGGAAAAAAGTCCAGGTGTGAGTGAAGGAAATGTATCTTAAGAGACACATTACAGCCCGTCTTTTGATACGATGACAGCATATTTTTGACAAGGGTTTTATAGTTGTCAGCTTTTCTATTTCCCAAGAAGTTAGTGACCACCAGACGGAAATCATTCCAAGCAGTTTTTTCAATACCTGTTAAAGTGTTTTCAAACTGTGTATCTTTCAAAATATTTCGAATCTGTGGCCCAACAAAAATACCTTCTTTAACCTTTGCCTCACTTAGTGTTGGAAATTTCTTACGCAGGTATTGCTAAGCTGACCCATCTCTATCTAATGCCTTGACAAAGTTTTTCATTAGGCCCAACTTGATATGCAGTGGTGGTAATAAAATTTTTTTCGAATCTACTAATGGCATATGCTGTACATTTTTTTGACCTGGCTCTAGGAACTAACGAACAGGCCAGTTTTGTCTGGTGTAATGAAGTGCCTTTGCCCGACTGTCCCATTCACACAAAGAGCAGCAAAACTTTGTGTAGCCTAGCTGCAGCCCAAGTAAAAGTGCAACAACTTTCAAATCGCCACAAATATGCCATTGGTGCTCATCGTATTTTATGCATGTCAATAGGTACTTCATATTGTCATATGATATTTTCATGTGAACTGCATACCCTACTGGAAGAGATGGTAAAATATTTCCAATATGCAATAACACTGCCTTTAAACTCAATGTTGAACTGTCTATAAACAATCTCCATTCTTCTGGGTTATGGTTTATATTTAAAGCCGCCAGTAAGCCGTTAACGTTACTGCAGAAAACCAAGTTATTCTCCATATTGAAAAATGTCTTTGTGGCATTTACGAAAAACACATAACGAAACATCGTCTTCTAACAAGTTCCACTGCTGCAGCCTTGATCCAAGTAACTCTGCCTTACATTTTGGAAGTTCTAAATCTCTTACAAGATCATTTAATTCTGACTGTGTTATTTTGTGCGGTTGGTGGCGTGACGTGCTCGGTATAAAATCAGGATCTCTTGACGTTGATGGCATATCTTCTTCCTGACGAATCACTCGATCGCCATGATCTGATTCGCAAGTGTAGGATTCTGGGGGTTTTGGAATACGATTTTCGTCACTGTGAGGCACAGGTCTCATCGCAGATGGTATGTTTGGGTAGTTAATAACCGATTTTTTTTTCTTGGACAAACCTGTGGCTTGTCCAACACAAGGTACCATGCAAAAGTAACAATCATTAATATGATTTATAGGCTCTCTCCAAACCATTGGGACAGCAAAGCGCATAGACCGTTTTTTGCCATTTAACCAGCTCCTCAGACTTGAAGCACATGTATTACAGCAGATGTGGGGTGCCCACTGTTTGTCTTGATCACCTAGTTTACAACCGAAATAAAGCTGATATGCCTTTGTTATTAGTGGAGTAATAGACCGTCTCTGAGACGCAAAAGTCATATCACCACAGACGTAACAAAACTGATCTGGATTGTTTACACACTTTCGAGACATCTTGCATGGACGCTGTCAGCCAACTGAGGAAAAAATGACTAATATAAAACAATATAATGTACACGTATGTATAACGTAACACAATCATGCCGATTACATCATCTTTCCTTGCCGAATATAAAAATGTAGCACGTGCATTCTTGTGAATTACAGTATTTTAACACTGTCACAGCAGGAACACATATAATTACCGTATCTCTAAAACTTGAACTAATATTGAAAAAATAAGTTTGATTCCGTTTTTAGCTCATTAAAAATAGTAATATTTTGTTGATTTTATTTAGGATATTTTTTGGCTGTTGATCAGTGTTACTCCACAAATATTGCAAAATGTGCGGCAACGTTTTGAGCAAAATCTTCGTTATTGCATGGAGAGTCATGGTGGCCATTTTCAACATTTACTTGCCTAACGGGTCAGTTCGTTCTTCATTTTTAAATTACTTCGCTGCCAAATGTATTGATATCCAATAATGATGATGTATTAGTTTTATTTAAGCTTTAAATCAATAAATCTTCAAAACTACTGAACTGAAGTACATTAATTTTATATTATAAAGGGAATTGAATGACCTTTAAAATAAGGTATCACTCGACCCCCCCTTTCCATTTAAGATTTTGAGGGTGGTGTCACCCCCGCTTAGGGGACTGCACGTCCTAACGTGATTTTTTGCCAAACTTGTGTCCCCCTTGAAAACAAAATCGTCGGGTCTGAGCGTTTTTTCAGAAAAAAAACTGAGCTGCCAGTAAATTCGTCTGTTTCGTTTCGATGCGTCGCCCTGTATGATTAGACTACATCTATCGAAACCTGATGGGCGCTAGGACGCATCTTGCTACTCAAAGTATAGTACTGTGTTTTGGAAGCATTAAACTATAGATTATTGTTGCATCCCCAAGCAGTGATGACTTTCATGTCTCTCGTCAGAGAGAAAGTCGCTACTAGTCTCCTTTTCTCCAGGTCACTGGCAGAGATCGAGGTGTCACTCCGAATTCCTGCATGTAGAGTGCCGTCATCAACAAAGCTGTGGATTGGTTGGATTGTACAGTCAATGAGGTCGTTAAGATGTACAATGTCGGAGATCCTCGGAAACACCCGCATTGACATTATGAGATGAAGAGGAAACAAGTGGAAGTGTTAAAATATGTGATAAAAAAGGTGACCCGCTAATTAAGTTGCACAGCTTAATTTGATAGTTATATTATTATTACCATTTAACTACTAAATACGTATCATCTGGTCGTAATGAATAGTCGCAATCCAGAACTATTGCTGATTTGGAGTCATTCTTGACGGCCATAGGCACCTTGATGTAGTTTATTTGGATTCCAACGACTTGCGACCACACTGGAAAAAAAAATAAGTATTTAGACCAAGAATATACTCTGTGAAACATACTAATGCTCCATCATTTCAAAGCAAAAATAAGATTTTTTTATTCTCCATAGTACTCGTATCCTAGATAAATGAAAAGGCTAATAAAGCAACCATAATAACCAACTAAAACGGATAGTTTTTAAGCAGTTTTCAATTTTTACTTCCCACGCCTACTGGCGAGTATTATAATCGCGAACAATTTTTAAAATTAGATGTGTTTTTTGGATGATATATGACATATAGGAGTACCCCCAGGATTTCGATGAAATTTTTAAACCATATTACTGCTATGCCTAGGACGCACATGCTTTGTAGTTTTTGAAAATCGGTCCAGTGGCGGCGTACCTAGGGGAAGAAGCACGACAAAATAAAAATATGCTCATTGACGTTTCAGATGCTCCTGATCATTTTCAGAAAAAAATTTGTAGGGGTTGAAAATTGCGGGTTGTAGGGGTGAAGGAAAGTACGAGGGGGTATCCAAAAAAAAACGGAATTATTTTTAAAAGCTATTTATTTTCAAGTTTTTCACAAAGTAACCTTATCTCCTTCAAAATAAGATCCATTGCAACTAATACACTTGTCCCACCGGTGCTTCCAGTGCTCGAAACATTTTCTAAAGTCTCCCTTAGAAATTTCTGACAGTTCCTCCCTCGTTTTTTCTTGACCTCTTCAATATCGCAAAACGGCGTCCTTTCATGTCCCTTTTCATCCTTGGAAATAGGAAAAAGTCGCACGGAGCCAGGTCAGGCGAATAAGGTGCCATTTTTAGCCGGAAACTGTCGAACAGAGATGGCTGTGTGCGCAGGTTCATTATTGTGGTGGAAGAACCAGTCTCCCGACTGCCACAAATCGGATCTTTTTTGCCGAAAACTGTTTCGCAATTGTCTTAAAATCTCCAAATAGCACAAGCTCTCGAATTTTTTCAATATTTCCGTCTATTCGGGCTGTTGATGGACTTCCAGAGCAAACCACTCGTACGTACACCTGAGTTGTTCCCATGGCATCATCTTTATAAGCTATTTTGAACATTAAAACAGAGTCATCAGCATTTTTACCAATTAGAAAGCAAAATTTCACGGCTGCACGTTGCTCACTGAAGCTTGTCATCGTAAAAAATTAAACAAGCACGAAACAGCTCTAGCAGCGGTGGCCGCAGTAGTAGACTCTCGGTCTCCTGATCAGTCGCCGTGCACTGTGCGGGTTCGAGTCCCGTCCCAGGAGAAATTTTTCTCTTGGCTATGGATGTTGTGATTGTCCGTAGGTGGTAGACGGTCTCTGACTGTCGAACGCGGAGGTACCACCCGGCGGATCTCGTAGGCGGAGCCAGAATGTGTGCATGCTGCATGCACACGTGTTCCCTCGCCAGAGTCCGTGTGGCGTTCCCCCTTTCCCCTATATCCCCCTATAGCTTCACGGTACCCAATGGGTGTTTAGGCCTTAGGCCTTCGTGGTAGTTGGAGTATAAAAAAAAAGCAAAAATAATGACTTCAGAGGATCGAAACAAGCCAGATCGACAACCCAGGTGGCACTAAACTGGTAATGAGTTGCGCTGTACGCCTCTAGGGGCAGAAATGTGTACTACACAAGCTCCGCCCACTGCAATGCTATTCCGGTTATTTTTGGGTACCTCCTCGTATATCTCATTGTATATTTATAAACTTCCACCCATAGTAATTTGATGCACCTATCAATATACATTGTGGCCCAGATTCGCTTCTGTATACAGGGATATCGGCTCCTGTTATACCTACAGCAAAGGTTAAATGAGAAAAGTTTTAGAGGAAAATTGGTGCATTCGATACCCGGCTTCAGATTTACGATCGGTCAATTGGTTTTGGAAGTATCGACGAAAAACCGAAAATAACGAATTTTGTTTTTCGCCAGCAAATCCGAAACGGTTAATTTAACAGCTGTCAAAATGTGAGATTATTTGGACTATTTTTTAAGGCAAATAAGATAGCGTGAATAACTTGTCCCAATCGTCTTTTGTTTTCCCGCAATATTGATTTTCGGACATAGGTTATAATGAACTTTTTTGCTTAGAATAATGCAAGGATCACCTCTTAAAGTTACGAATATTATTTCCTTAACACCCTGTACAATAAGTTTGGCGACTTTCAGGCGGGGATTCTTGACTGAAGTCGCAAAATTGCTCAGAAACGGAAGACAAGAACAACTATCACATATTCATGGTCCTGGAAGCATAGTTTTCAGGACTGAGGATATAGTCCAGTCGTCATGGAAAGCCAGTTCTCTCAAAATTATGATATGGACAATGAGCGAATTATAAGATCTATCAGGGGATCAGTGCTAACATCGATGACTCGTTTTCAAAAGATTCGTCTACGGAAGACTCGTCAGATGAATCTCTGCATAGCACTTCAACAGAATCCTCTATGATTCCGTTTTGCATACCAGCAGAGCTTCAAGGCCATACTAAGGACCTGAAGCTACATAAAGCACCTGGTGAGGATCAAGTCACCAACAAAGCACTGAAGGCTTTGAATTATCTGGTGGCAATAATCAATGCAATGCTCAGAACTTAGTACTTTCCTAAGGCGTGGAAGATTGCTAAAGTCATCATGATCCCATAGAAGGTAGGTTCGATATTTGCCCAAGATTACCGTGATATCAGCCTGCTGTCAGCTCCTTCTAAGCTCTCTGGAAATGTGATTTATCGTCACCTTGAAAATTTCTCGTCAGATCACCATGTGATTCCTGACGTGCAATTCGGCTTTCGGTTTGAGCATAGTACGGAGCTACAGGCAGTTTGACTCGTAAAGCATGAAACCAGGGGGTTCAACCTGAACAAAAGTGCTGGTATCCTGCTTTTAGATGTATCACACTCATTTGACAAGGTGTGGCACATGAGCCTCTTGTATAAGCTCGTCCAAAAGGGCTTTTCATTTTGGCTTCTAAAACTGTTGAAATCTTTTCTAGAAGAAAGGACGTTTCGGATCAAAATTAACAATGTTTTGGCAACAACACGGCCAGTAAGAGGCGGTGTTCCTCAGGGTTCGGTCGTAGGACCACTTTATATACATGACGTCCCTTACCCAGCAACTGTGAAGTCTACCTCTATGCTGATGACACTGGACTAGTATCCCAGTCGTGTTCTGGTAACCTGATATACGACAGGCTGCAAAGTGCGGTGGAGGAAGTATTGGAGTGGGCGAATCGGTTGGTGGTCAAAATGAATAAATCGAAAACGCACCTATTGAACTAAAAAACGTCGTGGTGCCCTATCAGAGATATCAGTGAATGGAACTTTCTTTCCTTCTTCCCTTTCACCTTGAATATGTTTAGTATATGTGTAGCCAGATCCTACCGACTAACAGACCGACAAATAAAGTCGTCCAGCATATTCTAGTCTTCGAATTGCTACAGAAGGAACTCATCGTTGGTTGTACAACATTTTTGACCGACACGTTCATTACATTAAATCTATGGTTTAAATTTAAGATCACTCTACTACGTGGTAATATCACAAATAGAACGTGTCTCGGGGGAGTGGTTAATTTCTCCATGGTAATAGTACACACATGAACTCTGTACACACTGTAAACTAATGTTTCCAAATCCAATATACAGAGCGTTTCACAACTTATCCGACAAATTTTAGCCACATATGCACTGTTACGAAAGAAGTTGATTTCTCAGAAAAAAAAATGTTATTAAGATCCCATAGAAATTAATATCCCTAGATATTGGGAATGCCTTTGTCAAAAGTTGCAACACATTTAAATACTTAGGGGTAACTTTATCATCAAATGGGAAAAGAAACGCTGATGTAGCACACAAAATAGCTCAGGGAAGAAGAGCGATACGTCAACTAAATTCGCTCCTATGGAGCGACAAAATAACAAAAAGAAAAAAAAGCTATGTATCGTTCAATTGTAGAAAGTATCAGCACTTACGGAGCAGAAACTTAGGAGCTAAATAAAAAAGAAAAGAACATACTTCTGTCCCTTGAAATGGACTTCTGGAGAAGAAGCAGCCGACACTCACAGCTAGACCATATACGTAATGAACGAATAAGAGAATAAATGGACGTAGATGGAACTATACTCTATACGATAGGGTGAAGGCGGCTAACAGTACGGTCATCTAGAAAGAATGAACCATAGCAGATGAACTAAAAGAGTATGGGAGTGGACCCCGCCGGGAAGAAGAAAACGCGGCAAACATAGATTTTGCTTTTTAAATGACCCCACATAAAGAAATCCAAAGGTGATAAATCTGGCGATCTTGGGGGCCATTCTACCGGTCCATCGATCTGGAAACGTGTGATCTAAATATTGTCGAACACGTAATGTGGTGGGGCACCATCTTGTTGCAACATCAACCTATTCGCAATGTACCGCCGATCATTCTGATTTTCAATTATGGCTGTTAATGCAGGATTTTCCAGTAATTCCAAATACATTTCACCGGTCAAATTTCCAGGTAAGAAAAAAAGACCAACTAAATGATCGCCAAAAATACCAGCCCAAACATTTAATTTTTGTGGCTGCTGTGTATGAACCTCATGACAAATTCTGGGATTAGAATCGGACCAATATCGGCAGTTATGACGATTTACTACGCCATTTAAGAAAAAGGAACATTCGTCGGAAAAGCAAGTGTTGATTAGAAAATGTTCATCGTTTATAATTCGTTCACTCATATCTTCACAAAATTGTGATCGCCGATCAAAATCGTCTTCATTAAGTTCTTGTACCAGGTGAATTTTATACGGATGAAAACTATAGATATGCCTTTAGAATCCGTTGGACAGTACGTCGATTAACACCACACACAGTCTCCAATTTGCGGGTACTTAACGTAGGATCTACATAAACTTGCCCTAAAACCCCCACTTCTATTGCTCCGTTCCTTATGGGATTTTCAATATTGCGTTTTTTATTGGCGACTGACCCCGTTTCCCGAAATTTAGCTACAAGTTCTAGAACATATTTTCGATGCACGTT